TTTTTTTTTATAATTTGGCAAAGGGCCAAGCCTGGATTGGGGTAACATAACAGATGTACTGGCCAGTAAGGATTTTGTGGCCAGCTTCTGGCCTCTGTTGCTTGAGTTCCTAGTCATCTTTTGACTGCATCAGTGAGAGAATTTTGCAAAGTTAGTAGTCTTGGTGCTAATATCGGACAGACCCAGCAGCCCCTTTCCTAAATAGCTAGGATACAAAGAATGCACAAACACTAATTTAAAGGGATATGTGCACTGTTAAGTTCCTTGTTATGGAATAGCCAAGTTATGGAAACAATCTAAGTGCTCAAGGACGAGTGAATGGATAAAGATGTGGTATAGCCACATGATATACTAGCCTGCTATAAAAACAGAAAAAGATAAAATCTTGCCATTTGTGACATGGATGGGTAATATTGAGGGGATTATACTAAATGAAATAAGTCAGATGGATAAAGACAAAAACTAGATGATTTCACTTGTGGGGAATATAAGGAAACAAAGCAAACCAAACAAACCCTTGTAATGTTACTGTAGAACTGAGGCTACCTCAAGAGGGAGAGTGGCTGCTGAGCAGCAAAGGGGGTAGGGACCCCAATGGGTTATGGTGGAGGTAATTTTGGTACTTTGGTGGTAGGTGTAGTATGATAACATGCATTTAAATAATTTTGAATTTTAAACCCTAAAACATATACATACAGTGCTTTAGACCAAGATTACCCCAATAAAAATAATTTAAAAAGAAAAGCTGATTTAGTTGGGAATAGAGCCCATGAATCTATTCTTGTGGTAGGCCTACCTGGTGGTATAAGGGGTTAAGTCTGGGTAATATGAAGCAATCTGCAGCCTGTGCAGCATGAGTTTTATCCCCAGCCAGGTAGCTGACCCACATGGCACAGCAGACAGACCTCTCCTGTCTCCCCCACTGCACCCCTCAGCAGTGTTTGTCGGTCCGTCTGTGTTTCCCTCAGTCTCTGGTGGATCCTCTCAGCCAGCCCCCTATACATCTCAGCTCTTGTATGCATAAATAAATGTTCCCTATCTAAATCTGAGAACCCCTGCTTGAGATCACATAACTATTTTCTTAAAATAACCTAGTTCAAGTCCAGTAAATGGTAATAGAATTTTATGTGGTAAGCTTTAGGCAGAAGTTTGTACTTGTGGTTAAATATAAAGATCAGTTTTAAATATGAAATCTTTATTGCAAGGTACCAAATGTCAATGACTTTTAAGATGCTTTGCATAGTGATTTGGATTTTATGCCTGGGGCTATACAGAGATGGAAGCCCTCTTTGCTGCACAGCTAAGAATTGCCTGTTCCTGCCTAACAGTCCTACTACCTTCATTTGCCAAGGAGGTGATACAGTCCATGTTATAATCCTGACAGATTCCTGTGCCTGATACTTGGGTAATGCCCACTAAATGTTAGTATTCATTTCTATTTAATTTTTTTTTCAACTGGGAATATATATCATAGCCTAATGTCCTCTTTGACCCAGGTGTTTTGCATATGTCCATAGAGTGGTTGGTGAGACCAGACTCTAGTTCATCCCTGTACACAGTCCTAACTGCAGACTGGGATCTTAACATTCTTGAATGAGTTGAGTCAGCCAGTATTTAAATAGTTAGAAAGCTTGACAGTAAATGTTTAAGATACTTAAAAAAATGTGTTTTATAGTAAGTATAAATCAAATCAATTTTGTAGTGACAAACTTTCTGAGCATCTAAGAGAGCAAAACCTTGTTTGACTTTTTTCAGTTGCATTGAACTTCTGATTTGAACTTCCTCAGTTTCAAATTTGTATAAGGTTGTGTTTCATTTAATAACTTTTTTTTAACATGTGGGAGATACACTTTTTTTTTTAGGAATAAAAGTTGCTTAAAAGGTTATTTTGTATAAAATATTTATTGAAAAGGAGGTCAATTCTATAAATACTGATATATGTAGGGCTCTCAAATCAAGGGGAAAGCCATTCTTTATATGTGTATATTTTTACATCATTATTCATTTTTGTATAATATTTCCCTTGTCTCAGGTGTAATCCCCATAAATTCCCACCACAAATTCGCCCATTGAACCATCATCATAGTCTCTTGTACTCTTTCTGCCCCTGTTTTGATCCTTCTCCCTCCCTCTTTCTTGCAGAATCTCTGATTTATAATTTCCTACCAGTTTTGTTATTTACTTATTACTAATTTTTTTCCTGACCTCTTACTTGTTTCCCCTTTATTCCTCCTGTAGTTGAAACCATCAGATATTTTTCTCTTTCCTTCTGGCTTATTGCACTGGGCATAATCCATTCCACCTGTTTTCATGTTGCTGTGAATGGTGCGTTTATCCTTTTTGGTTGCCGAATAGTATTCCATTGTGTTATATACCACATCTTGATCTAGTCATCTATTTTGGGGCACTTGGTTTTTTCCACTATTTTTTGGTAAGATTTAAAAAAAAAATTTTAAAGTTTGATTTCACATCAGAAAATCTAGATTTAAGTCTCTATGCTACCATTCATCAAGGTAAGCAGGTTACCAAACTTGGGGAGATCTCTTTTTATCTGCAGAAGTGGAATATGATAATGTTTTAAATATTGATGTAAAGCAATTCACTTCTTTGAGGGGGGTTTTGTCTCCCTCTGAACAGAGCTGTTCACTAGAAATAAAATGTGAGCCACATGCACGATTTTAAATATTCCGGTGTTCACACTGTTCGTGTGCAGAAGTGATGGGCATCTCCAAACCTTCACACTCTGAAGAGGTTCTGTCATGTACTGCATCAAAATAAAACATACTCTCAGTGAAAGAACTTTAATAGGCTAGCGTACATAGAGAAGAAGGAGTAATAGTTTCCCAGTAAAACATCCAAAGGTAGCTATCTTTTTGTGGGTAAATTCCTTTACACGGTTGACCCAAAGCAAGGCTGCTGAAGCCAGAAAACTTACCATAAGTCTAAGGCATCCTCTGTTAGGGAACCATAAGAAAGAGGCAGAAGAGTCCAGTCTTGGATGAAGGGAAAGAAAACAGTACAAATTAAGGTGGTGGCTACCATTTTTATCCTCCCAATGGGACTCTAACCCGTGTCTCTTCTACATGTCTCGATTCCACGTTTTCTTCCATGTTCCCCTTGTCTCTGAGTAAGTCCAAGGCATGTCTTCTTCACGTCTCTCTGTTCCATGTTTCACTCCCACGTCGCCTTTAAAACTTCTCTCTGCTTAGTTCTACCCTTCATTATGTAGGGCAGGGAACATGGAACCTCTCCTTTTTAATGGAAGTCACACTAACAATATTTTTAAGAAGAAACAAATGGAATTAGTATATTTTATTAACCCATTATACAAAAATAGTATAATTTTCATGTCTAATATTAAACAATACTACTGTTTCATACCAAGTCTTTGAAATCTGGTGTGCATTTTACATTTACAGCACCTATCAGCTTGAATTAGGGACGTTTCAAGTGCTCAGGAGTCATATTTTACTAAAAGCTATCACATTTTACAGGTCTAGAATGTAGATTATAACTTCTCCATCAGGGCCTTGGGCACTAGTGCTGTCTTGTACACCTTTGATGAGTGAGCCTTATATTTCTTTCTTCAACTAAGACTTGTATCTTTGCCCTTGTTTAGGGATCCTCTCTACGCATAGTCTTTGCCTGACCCACATGAGGACAAGGTCAAACTCCAAGCATACCATGTGCCTCTCTGTTTGGCCAAGGTTGGCAAACAACTGGAATGCCTGAGCCCCTTCTGAAATGCAAGGATCAGGGCTCAGGGGCAAGGTCAGAGTCTCAGGACAGGACCACCATTTGTAATATCTCTTCATTCTTGTTCTTATCTACCCTTTTTTTTTTGCTTTCCCCACTTTTCAGAAGCTTATCTAGTATCCCTGGGAAAAGAGCAAATACCAGCACTCTTCTAATGGAATTCAGTCTCTTTGTTCTCCACTCAGTATAGTTTACAAGACATCCCTCTCTTTCCAAACATTATTTTGGACCATTCCTCTGGATCTGCTCCAGTCCTGCCCTAAACATTATTTTGATTTTTAAAAAGACATTTGGAATCTTTTAGGGGCCAAGAGGTTTGAGGAAAAAGGGATGTATATGTATCTTAACTGGTTTTTTTGTGTGTGTAAGTTTTCTGTTAATTATCTTTCATCCATATTTTGGAAAAATTAGTGAACCGATTACCCGAACAGCTGTGTAATGGTAAAAAGGTATCGAAACTGCAATTCATTCAACAAAAACACCCTATCAGCTGTTACCTTCAAAAGTCCAGTCCTGTCAGTGTCTAAAATAGCTGGCAGCTGCCAGCACACAACTCTCCACCTTTTTGTGTTTTGTAATGATCACTACTATCTAAAATTTTTTGTTTGCCTTTCCAAATAAGAGTACAAGCTCCATATGGGTGTGGACTTTTGTTCATCTCTGGATCCCCACCTCCTAGTATTGCTTTATGTAAAAACACCAATTTATATGAATAAATTACATGGTTTGTGAATATAACTAAGAAAAACCAATAAACATATAAATAAACAAATATACTTTTCATTTAGTGGAAGTAAGCTTATTTTGAGCTAGATATTTTTTGATGGTTATGATTTTAAGATTTTATAAAGTGTGCTTAAAGAATAGTACCTTACCTCTAGTAGTAATTTTTTTTTTAAAAGATTTTATTTATTTGTACATACAGAACTGGGGTACAGGCCAGAGGCTCAGGGGCGGTGAGAGGCTTCACCAGAGACAGAGTGGGGAGCAGAACAGTCAGATCGACGAAGTACACTGCTGAGGGGAGCAGCGGGCGGGTCAGGAGAGGTCTGCCACGCCATGTGGTCACCTCCGGGGCAGGCGGGAATCGAACTCATGCGGAAGTGGCTTTAGCTTCTCAGTGCAGTGCTTTAACCCGCTGCGCCACCAGGGAGGGCCACCTCTAGTAGTAATTTTAAGGGCTGTTTCTAATTGCATTTAGTTTGACCGTAGTTCAATTAACTCCCCATCTTCTTTCTTCTTAGTCTGTAAGACTTGTATTGTACAGCACTTTGAAGATAGCAATGACTGTCCAAGGTGTGGCAACCAAGTACATGAGACAAATCCCTTAGAAATGCTGAGGTAAGTGAAAATATTTAATAGTTCAACTAATTCAAGTAAATTAAATAAGTGGTTAGTAATTTTTATTACACGTCATATTTATATATTGGCACCTTGACCCAATTAAAACAGGTTTTATGAATTTTATAATTTTCATTTTCTTTTTAAGGAAATCTAAGAGAAATTAAAAAATAAGCCATGCATGTTAAATATTTAAGAAATATATTTCCAAATTAAAGATGGTAGAAATTAAAGATGGTAGCTCAGAATTACCTGTAGTTACTATCAGTGTCTATTGTACTTCTTTTTGAGCTACATGGTAGTGGCAAGAGGGCAGATCTAGTAGGGAAACTAATCTTGGTACTATTCATTGTTATTAATTTAGCATATACTTGAAAAGATTGTACATTCAGTAAAACATAAAGAATGACTTTAAATAATACATTTACTTAAGAATTTTATCATTTGTTTTTAAAGCTGGACGTAGTCTGTCAGCTCCTAATCCAAGCCCATTTTTCCGAACTAGAAAGTTGAAATTTATAGAAGTGACACGATTTGCCTGAAGTCTCAGCAAACTCTTGTCACTCCCTTGCTACAAGCCAGGCATTCTCACCACTAAACCTCTTCTCACCATTCCTACCATAGTTTTACTTCAGATCAACTATGTGCCATTTTTTTAAAAAGATTTATTTATTTATGCATACAGAACTGGGGTACAAGCCAGAGGTTCAGGGGCAGTGAGAGGATTCACCAGAGACAGAGTGGGGAATAGAACAGGCAGGTGGACTGAAATACACTGCTGAGGGGAGCAGAAGGTGAGAGAGGAGAGATCTGCCACATCATGTGGATCACCTCCAGGGCTGGGGATCAAACTTGCACTGAGGTGGCTGGGGCTAGCTTGCAGTGCTGTGTCCTAACCTGTTGCACCACCAGGGAGGGCCTTCAACTGTGTGCTTTTCGGTAAGAATACATCTAGAAGTAGAAGCCGATATTCTCCAGATAATATTCATGTCCATGTGCTATTCATGTCCATCATTTTATAAATTGGGGTTTGCAAGTCTTAGATTTCAGATATCTTCAATTTAATGCCTAAGAGATGAGTAGTTTGTCCACAGGTAAATGTCTAGTGGTTTTCAATTTGTGGTCCTCAAAACAGTATCTCTCAGGTTCCACCTCAGATTCAGAAACTGAGAGTGGAGCTGCCTTTAGTAGCCAAACCCTCAGGTGATTCTGACTTGTGCTAACCTTTGAGAGCCACTGGCCTAAGGAAGTCTTGAGCACGGCTTCTACTAGGTGGGTTTATGCTGGTGTTTCTTGAACAGGAGTGATTTTGCCCAAGTATACCCAGATATTGCCAGATTGTTTTTTACGACTTGGTGGGTGCTGCTAAGCATCCTATGACATCCCCAACCACCATCCCCAAATCACCTAGCTTATAATGGTAACCTTGATTTGAATAATTCAGAGGAGAACAAACTTTCCCTGATGATTAAAGTTTTCTCCCAATGATTTTATAAAAAATAAGTTATCAATTATCATCTGCTACTTTTTAAACTGTGGTTTGTATGAATTGTTTTGGTTTTGACTGTCTGATACTTGAAGGAATACAGTCACTATTTAATCAAATCTGATCCCTTGACTAAAGTTTGATATATATATTTTAGCTTTTTATTTGTAAATAGTTTAAAATTTACAAAAGGTCACCAAAATAAAAGTAGTACAGGAACACTTGTATTCTCTTTACCCAGATGCATCTATTAACATTTATCATGTACATGCTTGCTCACCCCTTTTTTTAACCATTTTAGGGTAAGTTACATACATCATTGACCCCTTACCTTAAAATACTTGATTGCATATTTCCTAAGACTAGAGATATTATCTATTATGATTATTGTATGATTAGATTACAATACTTTATTCTCCACATTCCTTTTGCATCACTTTCCTAAAAAACGCTAGGAGTATTAATAGGGAAATCTTTACCAAAGGATTCCCCCAGCTGGCTTTCTCTTACTAGCCCAACTGTTAGGTAAAATGGTGGTATAGGGTTTTGAAATGCCTTAGCTAATCATAATTTATCCCCCAGACTGGACATATTGCTCCTGAACATAAAGTGGATTAAAGCTTCTTTAGTAGATATCAGTGTCTGCTACACAAATAGCAACAGGTTTACTCCTGTGTGCCCTTTCCCAGGCTGTTAGAGGGTGTGCTGGATCTTTCTTTTCCCTTCCAAGAAAAAGGAAGGGAATGGAGCGTGGGAGAGAGGTGAAGGAGGAGGGTGGCTGTGCAGCAGGCTCCAGAACAGAGTCTGTGCAGGTGCTGTCTGTCAAGCAGCCATCAGTCAGTGTAGCTGCTGCACATATGGGGTGACGCTTGTGCTCCTGAGGAGCAGAGGTTCAGATTTTATTTAAATTAAAACCAGAAACAGTATTAGTATTTTCCCATTAAATGGGAATTTCTTATTAAATGAAAATTAATACAGAAATGTGTTGCTCAATACATTTTAATACATAAACAAAATTAATTAAAATTAATAGTACACAAAACAAAATTTTGTGTTACCTTGCCTACTGGTATATTTTAAAATATATATTTCAAATTACACATTTGACATTATATTCCTTTTGTACATCATTGATAGAATGGTAGGAGGAGGATGGAGAACTCTGAAAGGGAACCGCTGATTCAGCAAATATGTACTGCGTGCCTAAGATGTTCAGGCACCATTCCAGCTGTTTGAGGTCAGTTAGGGGGTAAGGTTGGTAAAGATTTTGACCTCGTGAAGTTAATATTTTCTCAAGGAGAAACATACAATAAGTCTTACATCAAATAATGTAACATGTTAGAAGGGAGAAAAGGAAGTGCCACAGTTGGAGTTATCAGAAGTGGGAGGGGAAGGACAGGTTGCAGTTTTAAATAGAATGATGAGTATAGGTCTCACTGAGTTTACCATGGATAAAATGGGGAAAGCATGCTTGTATCAGGTAGCAACCACTAGAAAGGGCCTAGACTGGGTGTATGTACACAGCTTGTTTGAGGAATAGCAGGGAAAGAGATTGATGATGAAGTTGGAGAGATAATGGGAATCTAGGGGCATTGTAGGCTGCTAGAAAAAGAACTGTCATTTACTTTGAGTGAAATGAGAAGCTACTGCAAAGTTCAGATTAGAGGAAATACAGTCTACCTTAGCTTAAAAAAATGGTCATTTTGATGATTGTGTTAAGAATATGCAGTGCATAAATAAGCAAGACAAGGGTAGAAGCAGGAATAACTTGGAAGGACATCACAGTGGTCCAGGTAAGAGATGGTAATAGTAGAAGGGGCAAAAAATGGTCATATCCTGCATATCTTTTGTAGGATAGCCAGTAAGATTTGATGATTCTGTTTTGAGAATATGGTAGATGAAGAAAGCAATTACTAACTCCAAGGAGAGAAAGAAGAATGAGGGGATATCTATGCTTTGATTATAGTGTATCTGTATATGTATTTATATAATAACAGTGTAAGTGTTGATTATTAATGAGACTATATGGAGAAGATGAAATTGGGGAAGTTTACGTTGGGAGCAAAGAGAGTGACAGGATGATATCAAAAATCTTTATTTTATATAAAAGGAAGTCAGAAAAATCTAGACAGCAAAAAACATGGCTTTGTTGTATTTTAAAGAAATATGAAAAAAATACTACTAGAAGAAATAGATTGGATTTGAAAGTAGCTGCCTCAGGTAGAAATGAGGAAGGTAGAACATGAGACTGTTGTATTTTAATGTTTTATGAGGAAGTTTAATTTATAAATCATACACATGTATTTCAAAAAAGCAAATATAAAGAATACTACTTTTTTAAAAAAAAAATACTATTGTGAAAACTGAATGACTTAGTAATTGGAGACTACAAAAAGAATATTTGAGCCAAAATAAAAGAGCATGAGGAGGTAAAGCAGACTGGAAAAAATAAGACATGCCTAGTGATAGGTGAATAAACTAGTAGATGAAAGAAGAGAGTCTATAACAGAACAGCACCATTTAAGACTTGTACGTTAGACTTAGGTTATATAAATTTATAGGCAGGTGTTGGGGAGAAATTAGTTCTTAAGCAAGTAAGGAATAATCAAATTAGTGCTTAAAGAAGATTCATATGATCATGTTAAATTAAAGGAAAATAACTATGCTGTCCTTCAAATAGTGGTAAATGAAGGAAAGGAAGGATGGAGGTATGGAAAAAAACTAGGGAGAAGAAAAACTGAGACTGAACATTAGTAGGACTTGGTAAGAAAATGTACTACTTGAGAGAGAGAACATTTCTAAATCTAAATTTTTTTATATAAAATGACGAGAAGTATTCTTTTGTTGAAGCTTATAGATGAGCCGGTCTTGACTAGTACAAAAGGAGATCCTTATGTTGGAACTTGAGCTCAGCAGAGAAAGAGTGTGTGTTGGATAAATCATGTGCTTACATGTTAATTTCAAAGTCACAAAAAGAAAAATCCAAGAAGTAGGAAATTGATAAGAAGGAAGTTTTAAGCCATTCAATATTTAGGCAGAGCAATATAGGAGAAAAATGACTTTGAAACCACTTGAAATTTTTTTAAGTTAATTTTTTTTTTTAAATCTCTTCACTTGGATTGTGAATGATCTTGGGAGTAGTGTAAAAATGCAAAATCCACACTATATGACAGAAATAATGCATACTTTCAAGTTGGAAGACAATAAATTTAGATTTGGATTTTTTCCCTCTAAACTAATTGAATGAAAGCCATGAAGAGTTTCACTCTTAAATTAACAGAAAAATCACCAAGATATATACATTGTTTTTTTTTTTATTGAATTTTATTGGTTCTCCATTCATTTACAAACTATTATTTCGGGAGTATTGCTTCATCACCCAGTATGGGTGTATTTTTACCGATCATATTGACCACTGTATCCATTTTTCCACCCCATTCCCCCTTCCCTTAGTATCTGCCGTATTTTTCGCAGAAACTTTGAGTTATTTCTGTTCTAGGAAGGTAAAATGACTGAATGTACTATATTTCTCAGAAGAGAGGAATGGAGGCTATTTCCTATACAGGAAAGAGTGTGGTAGAAATTGAGAGTACATATATCAGCTATTGCTAACATAGCAAACTCCCAGATGTTAAATTGATAAGCATCTGTCTTTCATTATTCTGTATGGTTCACAAATCTGGATGGGTTTGGTCCTGGGTAGGGTCACTAGACTCCAAATAGCTAGCTATCCTGCTGATCTTGGCTGGGTCCCATTAGATGCTGAGGGATGGATTGTCAGTGAACTAGTGTAAGATGATTTCAGCAGGACATCTCATCCTCCAGACCTCTACTCATGGTGGCAGGATTCTGAGAAAGAACCAGAGCACAAAAGCATGTATTGCCTCTAAGAACTTGGGCTGTGAACTAGGCAATGTCACTTGTGCCATTCCTAATGGCCTAAGCATATTTCAAGGCCAGCCTATATATTCTCAGGGTGGGAATAGAGTCTATATCTTAGTTGGTAGAGGAATTTGAAAGTTTATGTTCAGAGAGTATACATACAGAGAGGACTGGACACTGGGACCATTTTGTAATCACTGTGGCAAGCTTAAAATTAGGTACGTGCCATGTGCAACAGAATTTGGTAGTGTATGTATATGTTCTAAGTTTTATAATGCATGCATAAAAATGATACAGACCTCAACAGTATATTGGTTTTTGATGTCTTCATTGTTAGTATGTTTTGTTTTTTTTTTTTAACCCCTTTTCAAAGGTTGGACAATACATTAGAAGAAATTATATTTAAGCTGGTCCCTGGACTACGAGAACGTAAGTTGCCCTGTGGTCTCTTAGAAATTTCTATTGAAGATTTCATGATTGCTTCACTATTTCATACCTTTTTTCTTTTAAAATTAGAAGAACTTGAGCGTGAATCTGAATTTTGGAAGAAAAATAAGCCTCAAGAAAATGGACAAGGTAACTTCTCATCTGTAACTGTTAACATCTCACATTGGTCAGCTTTTTGTGAATCAAAGATCATATTTCTCTTGGACAGAATTCATGTACTCCCTTTTTTATATTATGAGCCAAGCTTTATTTATGAAACTTTTATAGCGAATAGGATATTTTATATAAGTGTGTAAATCTGCAGTCACTCCAGTTGAGGGTAATTGAAAATAGAAGAAATCTGACTTTTGAAAGAGAAGAGATAAAACATGACAACCAATTATAGCAGTGTTTATTGGAAAACTAAAACTGAAGAAATAGCCAGCTTTTAACTAAACAATGAGAGGTTTTTCTATTTTATGTGTTTATTTAAATAACAAAGAAATGAGATTTGACTGAGAGCCAGGAGGGGACCTTATTTTGCACTGATAATCTGGAGTGAAGTTTTCATAGATGTAGTTCAGATGATATATACCATGGATTTTGAAACCTATTCCTAGTTGCTCATGGAACTTTCTCCCTTAGCTATGCTAAGTGTTCATCATTGTCTTCTGGGTTGCTGAACACTCAGAAATCAATTTTTAATCATTTCAGCAAAGTGGCAAGCATTACTAGACAGAGAAAAGGCTTTTAGTTTTATCAGTCATACATCAGGAAAAAAAAAGTACAATAGACCTGAAGTTGTAAGAAAGTCATATCCTTCTGTTAAGATTTATTTGAATATGACATAAATACCAATGATATCTTTCAAGGATTTTTTAATAGGCTCTTGTTAGCTCAGTCTTCCACCTCTGGTTTACCCCTAAGATAATTGCATTGCTAATTATGCATCATTAAGATGGTTGAGAAAATTCTTTTAAATCTGTAAAATGGGGTTCATAGTTTTATTAGTTCAACTTAACTATAAGGGCTGGCTTTTTCTGGCAGGGTGGTTTGAGAATAATTTTGAACTATTGGAATGGAGTAGCAAGGAATTATTTTATTTTTAATCTGAAATAATAAAATGGACAAAGAAGCTAGCCTGCTCCCCCCCAAAAAAATTTTTTTTAACTTAAATACTAACGGCTGCTTTTTTACAGAAGGGTAAATTTCAGCTTAGACTAGTGCTGTAACGCACAGACAAGATTGCTAAGCATCTCTAGTTTTGGCTTCTATTCAAGGGAACAGGAATCCAGGGAGTATCATAAGGTATATTATTCTCTAGCTTACAGGTTGTGAAAAACTGCAGCCTACTTTGTATTTCTTTTTCCCATTTTTCCGCCCCTTTCAAAGTATTTAATAATATTTGATCTGTAGTTTGGGTGGAGAATTTGAATTTTCCTTTGTGTTGAGAATATGGTTCATAAAAACCACCTCTAAGTGTGTTCCATACACATATGGGAAGAATGCAGGAGAGAGAGAGACCCTACCTACCCTTTTGTGATAGAACTGTAATGCTTTTAGTAGTCACTGATGCAGAGCTAATTACAATTTTTCCTGGGCTTTTTTACATTAATGCTTCGTTGGATAACTTTCAAGTATCACCTTTGACATATTTTATCTGGAAGTCTTCTCTGAATCTCTGCTTCACCCCACAGTCTCAATTTATTGCCGCTCTTATATGTCCCCCACATAATTCATTTTACCTCTTATATCAGTCCCTTAACACAATTCTCCACTGTCTTCTTGTCTACCTCCTCCTGTATTCTCACCACTGTGAGAATGGTCACTGTAGTTTCTAGGGTGACGACACTTTTCAGTATTATTCTCTTAGGCCTAGTACAATGAATATCTAGCATAGAGGCATGAAAACTCAATAAAATAAAGTATGCAATTCAGGTTTATTTGATGGAATTTAAATTGTAACAGCTACATATGTGCTAAAAAGCTAACACATTCTACTCATTTAAATCACAAGCTGATTATATAAATGTCTAGTAACATTTAAATTTTGAGAACTTAGAATACTTTGTAGTTTAAGTGAGGACTTGGTTTTTAATTTGAATATATATATAATTTTATATCTTGTCTGCAGTTAGTGACTGGACCACTTACAAAGTAATTCTTTTTGTGTTACTAAGTCACTGATGTTTTTTAGAAATCCAGTGTTGAGCTGGTTAGAACATTTTGAAGGTACTAAAATTTTAAGCTGTTTTATCTCTGTTAAATACTTGTTGGCTTTTGATAATTACTGTATTGTCAATTAACTTTGAAGTCAACATAGTTATCATAGTTTTGTTTATACAGATGATACTTCAAAAGTTGACAAACCTAAAGTGGATGAAGAAGGTAATGAAAATCAAGATGATAAAGATTATCACAGAAGTGACCCACAAATTGCTATTTGTCTAGATTGTTTACGAAATAACGGACAATCGGGGGACAATGTAGTAAAGGTGAGTGGAAAAACACAGTTGCATTTTCTATTTTACAGTAAACCTGTTTTTTTGATGAGGTTTCCTAATGGCTCAAAATACTTGCTTTGAAAGTTTTCAAGTACAATGCCATTCTGTTAGTCCCCAAAGGCCAAGCAATTGCTTGCCACAGACACCTAGTTTTCAACACCTACAACTGAACTGTTCTGGGCCAATGCTACCACCTAGTGGCTTATGCAGAGAATCACACTTATATTCTCTTTTTGCCTCCTTTTATACCTTTGTTGGGAGTTCATAAACATTGCTTATCCGATTTATGTGTGGCAGCCAGCTCCATTAACTTCATGTCAGGCATTGGCTGTAATCCTTTTATTCATGCTCGTCTAACTTTCTCCTTTACTTTCACTCACAACTCAGAAAGAAAACCATCTCATGGGTAATACATTTTATGAATATTGTATATAGTTAGTTTTATAGTAAAATTGGATGTCATAATTACCTTTGGACTACCTTTAGGATCTCCATTTTCGAATCCTGTTTCCCTCTATATCCGTCTATTAATTAGGCCTTTATCTAAAGGATCTCTATAATACTTACATCCATTGTTTATTTTTTACATTTTTATTGGAAGCAATTTTCATTTTCATTATAAATGTTCAGTACTTATGTTTGTCCTAGCTAATGTCAGATGTTGAGATCATATTTCAGTCTATTTTCTTCACTTTGACATTACATTTTTCCTAACATTTACTGATTGCTGGAATATGAGCATACTGATTCAGTGAATACTGTTTCACTATATAGATGCTACGCAATAAAGACAATAAGGAAAAAACCATTATTCAAAGAGCTTTGGTTAGATCTGGTTTATACAATCAATTGTACTATAATAGGTTAATTGATTTAAAAGGGGTTGGGCAAACCATGTAATAAAATGGAACAATCTTTAGAAGTAGCATCTGAACACATTAATCCTTCCAGACGTCTCTGTAGTTTTTTATGTTCTGGTATATATACACAGAAACTGTCCTTTTTTAGTCTTCATCAGAGTTTGTAGTCACTGGCATTTCTCTCTCATTGCTAGCCCTCTTTTGGTAGGGGTTCTTCAGAGATTGTGGTCTTACTTTAGCACTGAAATTGATGAATTGTTATCTTGTAATGAAAGTTAAGTCAACGAAAAGGCTTAATAACTTTTCATAAATAAAGGTTATGGCTATTCTGCAGTATTTCTATTAAGGAAGTTATAAGTCACTGAATTTTAGAAATTCATCTGAAAATTAACTTCTATCCTTAGTACTCCTTTTTGACATCTTTGTTATTTTGCTATTCCAGTTGATCTTTACCCACTCACTCTTTTCTTTGTAGACTTCCTTCATCCTTGTGCCATCATTCTTAAAACAACTTTCATAGCTTCTATGACTTCTGCTATGCTACCCTGATTCTCACCTCTCTCTCTGGCCATTCCTACTGTCTCTACTTCTTCCTGTCTTCTACTTGATATTTGTGAGTATATCCTAACACCTGTTCTCCACTCAATTATTCTTTCTCTGGACTCATCCTAAGAAGTCGCTTCTACTTTTTGTGGGTTCACCTATGCAAAGAACATTTCAATTCCCTTTTCAACTTTGTCATCTTGCCGAAGTTGAACTGGTATGTTTCTGCCTTTTGAGTATCCCAGATAAGAGTTTCACTAACACCTGAAACTAACAGATTTAAAGAAAAATTCATTATGCTTCACTCCATTATTTCCCTCAGTCTAGTGCTACTTACCTCATACATTTTTGAAAGCCCTATCTTGAATATTTTCTGTAACCTTTAATTGTCCAGGACTGAGATCCATAACCTGAAAAATATACCAGGGTATAATAGTGAATACTATAGGCTCTATGGTCCATATGGTCTCTGTTACAACTACTTTTGCATTGTGGCACTAAAACAGTCATAGAAAATAACAGGCAGTGTTGTATTCCAATAAAAGTTTGCTTGTAAGAATAGGTGGCGACGTGTCTTGATGGTCATAGCCAACTTCTGGCCCAATAAATGTCAAGTCACAATTTCTTATGTTAGCATCTGAGGCCTTTTATTAATGCCCCTGTCTTGGTAAGCTGTTTTCCAATTTACTCAGTGAACCCTCCTCCTCTGAGGACAAATGATTATTGCTTTAATGTGAGTTGGCATATGTTAGCATTCAATAACTAACAAAGGGTTTGGATCTAGTACATAAAAAAGGCTTGTGTTAGTATTTAATACCCTCTGAAACAGAAGTCTTTTTTGGATGTTTGACCCTCTTTTTGCCACCCTAGTAAAGTGCTCTGAATTTCATAGTACCTGCTTAATTAGGGCTTAGTTTATTATCTTCTAAATCAGCATTTACTGTGTTCCTAGAGCTACCAAATATTGCCATTGTCTTTTATCTTATTTTGGTGTTTGTGTTATTAAAGCTAGATTATAGCCCATTTAAAGGTAGAGAATCTGTCTATGCTGCTTTGTAGTCCTCCAACCATCTTATTCCTCTACAGTAGTATGGAATTCTCAAATGTGGTGTTGGATGTATAGTTTATATAGTGAAAACTACTACCTTTGTAATTCAAAAGTCAATGTCAAGAACAGAAAGTCAGTGAAAACCGTACAGTAGGAACCTCTAAATTCACTATGAAAGCAGAGAAAACATTTTCAGAATAAAATTTTACAGAAATCTGATAACAAGGCTTTTGGCCTACTCTTGGTGATAAAAAAAAAAGCCACAAACTCATTTTTAAGATTTATACATACAGAACTGGGGTGCAGGGCAGTAATAGGATTCATCAGAGACAGAGTGGGGAGGAGAGCAGAGGGTAGGGTAGGAGAGGTCTGCCATGACATGGTCACTTCCGGAGCAGGCAGGAATCGAACTCATGCAGAAGTGGCTTTAGCTTCTTAGTGCTGTGCTTTAACCTGCTGCGCCACCAGGAAGGGCCCAAGTTTGTGGCATTTTAACTTGACTTAGTCCTCTGGGGTAGCCTTGAAAAATAATAGCCTACTTTCCCACTGAAGCTTTGTGATCACCAGAGTATGGAATTCTTTCAAAGCCTGACTGCCAAATAATTGTCCTTATTTTACATCTCTAGTATCTCCTGCAATACCCTACTTAAAAGGCTCTCTGTATTTAACATGACTTGGAGGTTGCCCAGTGGGGGGAAAAAGACCTCTGCAGGTCAGAGGGAGGATTGAGAAATGCTTGTCAAAACCAATTACAGATAAAGGAAAATATGCAGAATGAGATGTCTACTGACCCAAGTTTTAGGGGCTTTGAAAAGCTCAGCAAAGATGAGTAGGTTCTAAGCTCGGACCTTTGACTTTGAGACAGTATAGCAGGAATTGAGAATGAAGGCATATTCCCTCCTGAAGATAGAAAGTTAATGGTTCTCAGTTTAATCATAGCCTATAGGGTTCATACAGTATTATTCCTAACAGGCAAAAAGTAAAACAACCAACATGTCCATCAGTTGGTAAATGGGTAAACAAAATGTATCTTCCTGTTAGAATATTACTCAGCAGTAAACTGGAATGAAATACTGATTAAGGCTATGACATATACAGTGTGTAAGAATAGAATTTGTTGAGTTGCATCCATCTAACTTGCATATGGGATACTATTTGATTACAGATCTAGCCTTTAAGCTCTTCTAAAACAATGATAAAGGTTAACCACCTTAGAAGCAGGAAGATAATAAACTAAGCCCTAATTAAGCAGGTACTATGAAGTTCAGAGAAGGACTTTACTAGGTTGGCAAAAAAGAGGGACAAACATCCAAAAAAGACTGTTTCTGGCTTGCCTTGGGAGGAACAGGTTAGAAAGCAAGCAGCTCTTCTGTGAAAGAGAAATGTAACATTCTTTGAACACAAAACATATATATAACTTTAGTGTTCAAAGAATGTTAACATTTCTCTTATAGAATTACTCTTACATAATTCTTCAAATGTATGGGTACAACTGAAATGTTAATCTCAGGGCTTGTACAGCGCTTCTCAAGAAACTCCAAGGTTTACCAATAAATTATACTAGAATATTATTAGAGTAACATCAAATATTATGAAATCATAAATTCCAGAAACAGGCTTGCCTGGTTTTTAAAATCTCTTAACTCTTCGGACATCTCTATAATTATTAAGTTTCTGAAAGATTATGACTAGTGATAACATGGTCATTTTTGCAGATTCCTCCAAACAAAATTTTTTGCACATGAGAAAAGACTTAAGAGGGTCTTAACCTATGAAGTATTAACAACTTTGTATAAGTAGCTTGGGGTGGAAAATGGTATAGTTGAGATGAACAGATAACAGAAAACCAACCAACAGGTATATTTTTACTTCTGTTTTCATGCTGTGCACATCAATACCATTGTCTAGAACATCATTCTTCCCATTTGAATTGGGTAGGGTACTGTTTACGTAAGATGGAACTTTTAAATTTCGTTATCTTTTAATGGATACTTACCATCTGAAGTATGGCCAGCTATTGTTGTAGATTTGTGTATGTTGGTTTGTGCTAGGAATGAATTTTCAAAGAAATACATGACTAGAAAGTTCTATTTTTGACTTATGATTTTAAGAACATTTTCAAATTGTTTGCCTAATCCCTTACAGATAGAAGTAGTGTTTTGTATCTTTAAAAAATTCAACCACTGTTTTTTGGTTTTCTTTTAGTATTGATTGCTTTTTAACACTTGGGGTAGGTTTCACAAATTGGTTCATGTTTGCCTTTTCTTCAGTTTGAATGTCCATTCTGTATTGGCTCTTATTTATGTTCAACTGTGAATAGTATTGCTAATTAAAGCACAGTACATTGTTTTCTCTATTCAGGATGGCCACAGCCCTTCAGACACTAGCTTAGGTGTTTTTCCCCGACAAAAGTCCCTGCTATGTGACTTAGTTGCTGGGGATCTCATGGCCTACCTGGCCTCTGTTGACTTTTAAAAAATACTTAGAAGTTAGAAACTTCTTTAAATGTTCCTGATGTTTTCAGAAGTCAGATTAATATAAAGTACTATTGAGCTTATAAATTGAAACATTTTCAGAGTGTGTTTTGAAAATACTCAACACAATAGTGGAAATTACATCTGTGAATTCCTTTTAAAAGAGCAAGATATACAATGTTATAATAAACAATTTTTATTTCCTTTAGGGTTTAATGAAGAAATTCATTCGATGTTCTACACGTGTGACTGTGGGAACTATTAAAAAATTTCTAAGTTTAAAGCTAAAACTTCCAAGTTCTTATGAGGTAAGTTAATATTTTGATCATTCTGATCTGAAGTAAAATCAGAACAGTACATTCAATTGTTGTGGAATCATTGGTTATTTTCATCTTAAAATTTTAATCTTTAAAATGTAATACTCTAATTACCTTAGTAACTACATAGCTTATTATATAGTATATTGATAGAATCTGTATTTTGTGATTTAAATAGTCTCGTGAAAAGATTATTTTATAGAGGATGTGCTTAAGAACCATTCAGTATTTCCATAATGTCACAATGCTTTATGATTTGCTGTTTTTATCTGAAGCCTTTAATATGTACTTTAACAATTCTTTATAGATTGTCATAATGTAAAATACTGTCTTTCACCAGAAGGGACTAAGCAAGTAATCTTCCTTTAGTTCCATCACATGTAAAATTGATACTGCATCTATATATATCAATCTACCTATTTAACAGGAGCTATAAATTACCCTATGTTGATCAGAGCACAGCTTCTAATGTGCTCAGTGTTTACAGATGTTTATGATCCTACCAGTGGGACATAACACAGTGAGAAAAATGGCTGCTGCTCTCACCTCCCCAGATCTCAATCTTATAACTTGTATATACTTCCTCGCCTTTGGGGTCTGAAAGTAGTGTTGAAAACAAGAAACAAGGCCCTCCCTGGTGGCGCAGCGGGTTAAAACACAGCACTAAGAAGCTTAAGCCACTTCCGCATGAGTTCGATTCCCGCCTGCCCCAGAGGAGCTCCACATGGCGAGGCAGACCTCTCCTGACCCGCCCGCTGCTCCCCTCAGCAGTGTACTTTGTCCATCTGCCTGTTCTGCTCCCCATTCTGTCTCTGGTGAATCCTCTCACCCTCTGTCTCTGGCCTGTACCCCAGTTCTGTATGAATAAATAAAAGAAACAAGACTAGTTTCCTATATACAAAGGTGTAAAGGCAACATAGTTTAAGCTTATTTTAATCACTCATAGCAAAAATAAAGTAGAATTTAAACATACTCCTTAATAGTTGTTAAATTTGTGTTGAAGAAATCTGATCCTGAGCTTAGTTTCTTAGATAACCGATCTATGAGTTAAAAATTCTTATTATGGTTTGATCCTACAGGTATTAACATTAAATTGGTTGGTAGTTGGTAAAAGATAAATTATAGAAATGGCATTGCAAACAAAGTGAAGTTTTAATGATTCCGTCTTGCACTTTAATATCTTAAGTGTACTTGTTATTTTCTAGATTTTAGGAAATTGTTATAGCTGAGAAACCCATTACTCTCATAAAGTCTATACTGTAGTCACATCTCTATAGAAAAAAATACAGAATGGGAAGAGACTAGCCCACTCATGTCTCTCTTATCTAAATGTAAAGGACTTTTCATACAATTTTTAGGATTATGTACTGTATCCCCCTATTTTGCTACCCAGTTTATAAGGGAATATAAATACCTTCATGAAATACCTGACAGCTAAAGCTTCTATAACATTACTAATCTTCTCCCTTCTACACATTTCAGTAAGCTCACTTTTAGTAGCTAGAAAACCAAAATATTAGTATGAATATTTATTTATAGAAATGTCAAACATTTATTTATGTCTTGTTAAATTAATAAGCCATAGCTGTACTTTCTGTGGTCTTCTTATAGATCTGGATAGGGGCAGGGGAGAGCTATTTGGTTACTGAAACTTAGGCCAAAATGAAGCTTTGGTAAATACAACCCTTTCTTGATGTCTCGTGCAAGGTTTAAAAAAGGTCTGTACTATAACCATTATCCATCAAGCAAAGAAGTTCCAGTATGTTCCTAACTGTTCTGTAAACTTAGCTATTGGTAGTTACTGGCAATTGTCAAAAAAATACCCTGTAAGTCTTGTATCCACATTAATTTACCCTATCAAATACAAACTAATGGAAGGAAAATAACTCCTTTAAATCTTGGAAAGATATTAAAAAAAAAATAACCTAACACCAGATTGCTTCAGTGGTAAATTCTCCTGACCATTCAAGTAAGATCTAATACCAGTCTTTCTCAACCTCCAAATCTTAGAAAAATAAAAGGATTCTTAAGGCACTTTGATGAATTTGTGGGGTTTCTATAGTTTCTATAGTTTCTTCCATTCAGCAGGAGGCCATGTTACAAGTATACTAAAACCTTAAAAGTTACACAGAAACATGGACTAAGAAAGTTTATATTTCAGAATTTTGTGTGTGAACTTGAGATACAGGTATGTGGGACAGATAAACCGTTCTTCCTTCTGATTATTGATACCCATGAGATGGGCCACTGTTTTTAATAAAAAGATGTCAGATTATTGGGTAATACTTCTATTTTGTTACAATTACTTGAATCTTACAGTTTGAAGAAGATATGTAAACACTTATGGTAACAGATCTATAACTATTCTTTTTTAAGTTGGATGTGCTGTGCAATGGTGAAATTATGGGAAAGGATCATACTATGGAATTCATCTACATGACGAGATGGCGACTGAGAGGCGAAAATGTAAATTGTTTCTATATTTACTTGTGTATATTTAGTTATATGTCATTGTTATTTGAATTTAACAATATAACATAGAAACAACAAAAGAAACTAGTTTGGGGAAGACAACTGGTTCCTCATACTGTTTCTCACACTACTGACAGTTGGTCCTAATATACAGGTCTGTTAAATGTGGTGAGCTGGATACCTATCTAATATTTCAAACTCTACTGATCTCAAAGACAGAGAAGATAGCTAATAACATTTTTTAAACCCCAATAAAAATTATTGAAACTATGGAGTTGGGGAGGAGAAGCTTAAGTTCTGCTTTTAGTAGTACACTAAATGGTTAAATACACATTTTTGATGTGATCGTATGGAATCTAGATCTTTTTTTCAGGTACCTCATTTACATTGAAAGTATAAAGTTGAATTGAAGGGTAAGTTTGCAATAGTTTCTGCTGCCATAATTATTATGTCTTTGCCCATAAGCATGTGGGAGAAATGATTAAATAGAGAAAAAGTTAAGTCCTAAAACCCAAAAGGAGAATTTTATATTTTGAACTATGTCTTTGAGTAGAGCCAAACAGAAATAGAATCAGAATTAAAAGTAACATGATATTAGAGAAATGGGAAGGGCTAGGGAATAGTAGCAGTGCTAAGAGAAATTAGACACTGATCCCATGAGTAAAATGACCATCAAGGCTGACTAGAAGGTTGCAAAAAAATGACCTCCAATATCCCTTTCAGACATTAATAGTGTCACTTTTCAACTCACATGTTAGATTTTATTACATTTTCTTATGAAAACAGGTTGTTTAAAAAACACAACTTATGAGGATAAGTATTACAGAATGTATACTGAGGGGCAAAAGCATACTGAATGTAAAATGGTGGAATTACGATAAAGCAAATCTAAAAAAAATTTTTGTGCCATTCCTTGGGTAGGTTATTTGGCTGTTTTTCAGAAGCACTGTCTGGCTATGATAATAACTGAAGAACCTAACTTAATAAATCAGTTTTTTCCTATTTGAGTTCCTCTGGGTTAAAAAGCCTTCCTTGTGAGGAATAAAGATGTTTTTGTACTAGTCACAAACCAGTTGTGTGCCCTTAACTCATTAAACCTCACTGGGGTTATTTTAAAATGTAAATACATAAAATATGTATCTAATATATGTTAAGTCCAGTTGTCTTTGGTAAATTATTTGCATTTCTATTACACTGTATAGTTTTTTTTTTTTTTTGAGGGTTCTACATATATCACCCTCATTTAATACTGAGAACCAAAATGTTTCAGATACAGGTGGTCACTTGTCTTACCCAGTGCTAATATTACACCTAATGTTAATACTGTATTGACTGTAACATTAGCTTCCTTGAACAGTTATTTCAGTGTGCATTAGCACTTGTAATCACTATTATGAGTAGATTTGCCTGCAGGTAAGAGTGCCTAGGTGGATAGGGCCTTGCTAGCACTCACTTATCCTTCACAAGTGCTCTTTCCAAGGCTGCCCATACTGCCAGTTATTTAATCTCAAAGCATGAAAACTGCCACATAAATGATTAATAGAATATCAATATATAAAATCCATCTTCACTATGACTATGTTTCTGATTACAGCTTCATATTCCTTGGCTGTTTAATACATGTTTCAATATAAGTTAGTTCAAAAAAATGGCTCAGAACATTATAATTTTTCATTTAGTTAAAAACTAAACAAGTCATTTTTTAGGCATGGCAAGCCTGAGTTTTGTTTTCTTGGGAACCTATTTCTCCCTCAGCCGTCACAACCACAATAATTATGAAATTAGTAGATTTCACTTGCTCCAGTTTCTGAAGTCAGTACTGGTTAGTTTTTTCTTCATCCATTGTTAGCGAATTGTGACCTTTACCCTCAAAATCTGAACTCAGTTATATCTTAACCACCTGAAGTTCTACTACTCTGTCCATCTCACCATTAACCATCACCCAGAATTTCTGTGAACATCTCCTCTGAGCACCATACTTCTACTTTGCCACTGCCTGCCCTCCTTCTTCTATCTTGACCAGCACAGCAGCCAGGCTGATTCTCTTTAAACAAGTTAGAACATATCACTCCTCTGATCCAAAATCTCCACAACCATCTGATGTCATTTAGTAAAAACCTGAATCCTTCCAGGGACCGATAGGAAGGATAGGCACAGCCCCACATCATTTTCTTCAGACATCACTGTTCTGTATTCTCTGGCTCACTGGCCTCTCAGGTACAGCAGGCTTGCTCTGCTTCTCAAAGGACTCACCACTTTCCTTCCAAGAATTCTGCTTTTGTGTTACATCAGCAAGGCCTCTGACTTAATTTTACAATCCCCTCTTCTAATCTGACATCCCTTTTCAAGCCTGTTTTCTATAATATTTTTTGTATCTGGCATACTAAGCCTCTTACTAAAATTTTGTTTCCCCAAATTTCTAGCAAGTGGTGCCTAGTACAGATATTTGGTAAGTATTTGAAGAGTAAAGTGAATGAAAAAGAATCCTAGGTTACTATTTTTCTGTTAAACAGGTTTTAAATTTTGCTCCTATTCCAATTAATTATGAATTATAATAGTAACTGACCAGTTACTATTTGACAGTTGGAGTAAATGAATAAGTTAGCAATCATTTCTTGACTAAGCCCCTACTAGCATATTTGTTACAGTCACATCCCTTCCCGGCTCTGCCTTACATTGCCAATAAGATGCTAGGATGTCTGAAAACTTACATACAGGTATTGTTAACTGCCTCTGCCTTGGAGCTTATTTCTGAACAGATGAATGCCTTGTAGTCCTTTCACTTATTTCTAGTACTTCTGTATATTAAATATTTTAATTACCTGGGATTTTACACACACCCCTACAAGAAGGCTAAAATAACATTTTAATATTTTTCTGCTAGCCCTAAACATTTTTTCCTTGAGTTTTATTCTTATATCAGCACCACATATTACATAGCTTTTATAAGCACTGATCACCTATACCATAACTAAAATCCCTCAGTTGTCCATTTTATTTGGGATACATTTAAATAAAATCTAAGCTAACATGTCTTATAAGGCAAATACAATAACTAGGTCAGTTTATAGTGTTAAGGCAAAACCTTCTATTTTTTAAATTGTTTACTAGTATCATTTTCAGATGAGCTTGAGGGTGGGATTGTTATCAGCAATGGGTTAAATTTCTAGATTTGGCACCTTTGCAGTTTTTCATCTTACTTGGTTGGTGTGAGCTATCTTCGCCTCTGCTCTACTCTTCCCTTCTGTGCTGAGTGGTCTGTGGCTTTCTTCCTACTGGATGCCACCTCTGTTCCCTAGGCCTGCTGCAAATTGGGCTTCTCTGTGTTTACGTCAGCTCTTGACCTTGTACTGTTTTTACACTTTTAGGAAGAATCTTGGGGAAATCAGATTTGCCTCCATTTCTCAAGAACAAGGCCATACATGCCCCTCACCACACAGAATCTGTGCCGCTCCTTCGCCTATCCTGGGGCATTTCTATGTCAGGCACTCCCTGTCTTCTGTGGGATGCACTTTGGGAAAGTTCTGTCTTTAGTATTAAATATCTGATGAATCTTAGCTTAACTCAAGAATTTTTAAGTTCATGAAAATTTTACTGCCTCAAGATTATACCAACATGATTATTATTTTGAGGTTGGTGTTTAACTTGTGGTTACTAATGGGAGAAAATGTACTTTTTAAAAAACCAACCTTAAGCTGAATGTAAATACAGATCACATGGAGATCTTGGTAAAACGCAAATTGTGGCCTCTGTATTCTGAGGTGGGGTCCAGTTTCCTCTAACTGGCTACCAGGAGGTACCAAGGCATCTGATTGTTGGATATTGAATAATAGGATTTTGGGTGATATGTTCTATAGTCATTGACTTGCCTTGTGGCTTTCACAGAAATCAGTTGAGGGTATGGAAATTATAAAATTAGATCCCAGTTTGGAAGGAACTTAGTAATCATGACTAATCACCAGTCTAATACATGGACCTGGTTTATAAACCCATACCATTATTTTTTTGAAACATGGAATTACAGTTTTGTACAAGTTTTTTTTTCTTTTGTTAATACATTGATAGTTTGTGTGGCTGTAGTATAATTTAGTGTATTCCGTTAGCGGACATACAGGTTTTCTCACAGTGTTTTACATTACAAGTAATGTTATATTTCAGTACTTAGATCCTAGGAATAAATTTACAACAGACTATGCACATTTTTCATTTTGGTAAACACAAATTGCCCTCTATAAAGGTCTTAGCTGCTTATGATACCAATAATGTATAGCAGTACCTGTTTCCTGAAATTCTCACTGCATTTTTCAAGTTTGTGTTTATTCTGCACAATTTTTCTTTTGTGTTTTTTCTACAGCAACACTTTTATTGACTTTTTTGGAGCTCTTATGTATTTTAGCTATTAATATTCTGTTATACATGTTGTAGCTATTTCTTCCCAATTGTGTCCTATTCCCTAGTTTTGCTGGGTTTTTTATTCTTAAAATTTGAGTAATGATACCTATCTTGAAAACTTTAGAAATAATATTATATAACAAAGTACTTTAATAGAATACCTGACATAATAAATGTTATTTTATTAATAGCTTATGTATGTTAGCTTTTCTTATAATTCTCTCCTCCTACACTTTATTCTCATCCTGGAGAGCTTATTGTTAATATCTCTTTCTGTTCAGCCTCTGCTTTCATCATGGACTCATGTTCTTCCTGCTCACCTTTTCTTGGGTAGGTTGAATACCCATTCTCAATACAGCCCCTCTTTTCTCAGATGATCCTGGTTGGATTCATCGCTGCCAATATATTCCTAAAATTACTGTACCATGTTTGCCTTTTTTACAGTGCCAAATAGTTTTAGGAAAAGCAAATACCTACCTTGTCTGATACCAACTAGATTAATAGGGGGAAAAAACCCACTTAGTGAAATGCCTCTTTACTCTAGTTAAGTGCTATTTGGGATTCACATAATTAGGCAAAGTATGATAGGCCAAGCTTAGGGGTCTGTTCACGGGGTGGGAGGTGGTGTTGTCAAGGATAGCAGTGCTGGCCTATCTTACAGCGTGTCCATGAACACTGCACAGAAAATCAAGAACTAACTTGCAGGAAAAAAATTGGAGTTTTTGGGAAAGTAGAAAATCAAAAAAAAAAAATTCCAGTAATTGTTTACATTTCTTTCAAATTATATCTTTTAAAAAGCTACTCTGGAATGTTAGATTTTTTTCCTGGTGAATGTATACCTCACATATTTTTACCTTTTCCATTTTTAAGTCATGCAATGTTAAATTCAGACATGCATAATTTTAAAATATACATTTGTTTTATAATCCCACTACAATTAAAATTATATATAGTAAATGTTTATCATAGTATTGAAAAAACAAGATTTGGGAATGATTTTCAATGAGTAATTAACCTGTTCAGAGTTAGTAAGTTTGTAAATGAATCTACTCAATAGACTTAAAATATGTTCATCCATTTATTTACTCATAAAACATTTATTGAGAGGCTGCTATATGCTAGCTCTGGGCCTAAGCTATTAGACTACAAATATGAATATAGATTTAAGGAGCTCACAGGTTAGTACTGGTAAAATAGATATGGAGATAAAGAATTTGATCTAAAGTAGAAAGTTAATCTTATAGGTTGTATCATGTTCTGTGCCCCTCTGAGCTCTGACATCCCTAAATACTTTTACTTTCAGGAGTAGTTGAAAAGGAGTTGTAGGTGATTGATCACAGGAAGAGATGAAAGAAAGGGGTGACCCTGGTGGACTGAAGGTTTGAAGGTTTCCTCAGGAATTAGCATTAAAAAAGAAATGGAAAAGATAGGCCACCATTTTGGTAAATGTCTGCAGAATATTAACAAAACTCATTTAGATTCTAAAATTCTTTAAAGCTAAATTTTGCTAGTCACCAAGATACTAAAATCTTTTTTCAAAAATTACCATATTTTTCAAAGTTTACTTAAAATTAATCATGTTGACTCATGTTTTATGTTAAAATATTTTAAATAATCAGTTTTAAATATGTATCCAGTTGTGGATGCCTCTTATCTGATGAGTTCATCTCCTCCGCAGTTTCGGTGTCTGAACTGCTCAGCTTCGCAAGTCTGCTCTCAGGATGGCCCTTTGTATCAGGTAAGAGGCACTCACGACTATACATATGACCCTGTTGATTCCCAGACTCATCTTCCTAAAACATGTAACTTAGCAAAATTAGTATTTATTTGAACAACAAAACTTATTCAATTTATGTCTCCAATGTTCCCTATTATTGTCAATTAATCTATATTATGAACTAAAAATAAATGATAAATATTAAGATATTTTACAAACCAGGAATTTCTAATTGCCCATTTCAGCCCTTCAATTCCTCTGCCAATATTGGATCTCCATTCCATATTGTGTGTGTGTATGTGTGTGTGTGGATCATTCACCCAAAAATGAAAGATTAAAATGCCTGCTTAGATGAAGCTAAGTAATGGCAGCAGCTAAATTAATTGTAAACTAACTTTCTAGGCCCTACTATCCTCAAGTACTTTGAGTTATCTCTCTTAATAAGGGAATGATAGTTAACTAATAATGCATTAAAGAAAAACTTGAACCATGGATCTGAGGAAAGCTTAATCTAATAATAAAAGCACATTTAAAAAATTTTTAAAAACTGAAGAAACTTAATGTAAGAATTATTGAATGCAGATAGGGTCTTTGATCAACCTGAGTCTTTGGACTAGTCATAACATTTCTTAAAAATCTTCATTGTTCTTTTCCCCTAGAAATTAATCTTTATCCTTATTTCCTTAGAGTCAAAAAAGGAGAATTATAATTACATTACAAACTTGTCTCTGATTTTGTAGTTTTAGGGTTAATACAAATAACTAGCAGTTTATGTAAAATGTTCCAGAGTCTGTAATATGAAAATCCCCATGCAGTCATCAAAATGTGTTTTTTAAAAATATGCACTATTCAAGAGAAAATTATTTAAGGTAAAGAATATCATCCTTTAAGTTATGCACTGAAGGGTGGAGGTAAATAATTTAGCTAATATGATAAGTTTTGTTAAATGCTTATACATATATACCACACAAAGTATATAGATATTTCAGCTACTTTTAGCTTCACAGATTATTTGGGGGTGATAAATTGTAATGCTATCCCTCCCTGTAGCAGTTAACTCATATGTACATGACATTGCTTTTATTCTTGGCAATGATGTCTAGTTGCTTAGATATAAACACATTTTTTTAAACACTGATAATAAAGTATTAAATAACTGGAATCTGACCAGATTTTCAAAACTCCAATTTTCTGACATGCTGAAGAAAGAAAAAATTTAACTTTTAACCAATAGGTTAAAAGTTTACACCTTTAAACAAAAGTCAGGCTAACAGACTTCAGAGAAAATATCATGTGCTCAGTTTCATACTACTAAATTTTCTAAGTATTTCCTGAAATGGAATGTTCTAGAAAAATACCAATAGGCTGAAATTTATCCAAGAAGAAAACCAATCATAATTCATAAAAGACCTAAAATAAAATTAAAAAATTACTTCCTCAATAGCCACCTAACAGCTACCATCCTTTTGATGGTCACATTCTCATAAAGATGCAAGGAATAGACCATTCCCATTCTAAATTGTTTAAATGTTAAGATGGAATTCTTCAAACTCACTTTATAAAGTACTAATCATGACAACAAAAACTGACAGAACTTCCAATTAGAATACTAATAAGTTTGAATATAAATATAGAAATGATGATATACTAAATATGCTAGAATACTACAAGAATAAATCAAAACTAGTTTAATCATAAACTAGATTGGCTTTATACTGGCAGAGGGAAATAAATATATTTATGAAACATTTTTATACACAGTCAGAAGTCAGTAGATGTTGAAAAGGCATTTGATGAAATTCATCAATAATTTTTCCTACCAATTTATTTTGAAATTTTTCATACAACCAAGAAATTTAAATAATAAAAGGAATTCTTTTTAGATTTTCTATCCCATCTTTCTCTCTTCTCTTTCTGTCCCTTATTAATGTCTTTGTAAGTATATCTATTGTTTTGCTGTGGAACCTTTTAAAAGTAAACTGCAAGTACCAGGATAGTTGACCACTAACTGCTTTAGCAAATATTTACTGAGATCAAAGACATTCTCATAAATAACAAATTCTTCATGCAGAATAAATATATTAAACATATTGCCATAATTATGATGTTGAACATAGTTCTAAACACACTTTCAGATTCATAACAGTCATTCTGAATTTCATCAGAAAATATAAGTTGGTGCTTCAGTTAGTCCAATTTTTAAAGTAATAATGACATGAGAGGATGTGTATATAACCATATATTAAAATATATGTCAAAACTGAAGTAGATTAGTAGCCTAAACATAGATACATGATCAAAACAGTAACTCAGGAACAGACCCTAACATATATCAATCTACCAAAAAAGCATTTCAGTTTAGTAGATGGAAAAATTTCATTTCACATTTATTGAGCATGTACTGGGCACATTTTTAGGCCCAGAAACACACAAGTGAAAATAACACTATTCTCCCTCTTAATGGTGGTAACAATTGAAAAATAAATGAGTAAAAGCTATAATGGTAGAAGAAAAATTAAGACTTTTTTTATTATTAGAAAAGGACTTTCTCATTGAGATTAAAGTTTTTTAATAAAAAAATAGTTGAGAAAAATAGTCACATGGATAGCTGGTTGGATACTCCAGGCTGAGGACACACAGTGCACAGGCCTAAAGGAGCACTCCTGTCAGCTGGCTTGAGGGTGGCAAGCAGTGATGCTGGGGCAAACAAAGTAGCTGGCAGAGGTAACTGTGGTCACTGAACCTGGAGATGTAATGCTGGAGGTGGGTTGTGGTATAGGAGGACTTGTTTTCAATGAATTATACTGGCACTGTTGGCAGTGGTGATGGGGGATTTAATCCACACCTCAAATTATGTTACTCAGTTTAACTGTTAAATTTAAAAATGATAATCATCAATGATCAAAAGGAAAATAGTTGATTAATCTTTAAGCAGAGATGGCCTTTCTCTTGTACTTATAAGAGGAATATATAAAGCTAAGTTGACTTACTAAAAATATATATAGCAAAAATCCCATAACTAAGAAAATACTGCAGTATGTGATAGGTTTAATGTCCTTAATACATCAAATTTGTAACAAAGTTCTACTTTCCAAGTTTCCTATGAAACAATAAAAAATATGACTAAGCAAGTCACAAAGAAACAAAACTAGTAAGACAAAAATTAACTTCTTTAGAAGTCATGAAATAAAATGCCATTTTATGATTATTGAATTGTCAAGTTAAGAGGCAGGAAAGGATAGTACTCAGCATTGATGAGGCTATGGAAGAATTAGCACTCGGTTTTTTTCAAAGTGTAAAAATAGAGCAACTGGGCCCTGCCTGGTGGCCCAGCAGGTTAAAGCATTGCACTAAGAAGCTAAAGCCACTTGCGCATGAGTTCAATTCCCGCCTGCCCCGGGGGTGACCACATGGCCCGGCAGACCTCTCCTGACCCGCCCACTGCTCCCCTTAGCAGTGTACTTCGTTGATCTGCCTGTTCTGCTCCCCACTCTGTCTCTGGTGACGCCTCTCACCACCCCTGAGCCTCTGGCCTGTACCCCAGTTCTGTATGCACAAATAAATCTTTAAAAAAAAATTAAAAAATAGAACAACTTTTGTAAATCTTAGGGTGACAGTACTTATCAAATAGCCTGTGTCTACTGTTAGAGTCAGTAGTTCCACTTCTAGCACTCACTGCTGGGAGTTGGGAGAGGGGGTAGCAGGGAGAGTGAAAAATCAACCATTGGGTGAAGATTTCTATAAAGGCATTATATGCAGCTTTGAAGAACTAACATAGGACCATATTGACTAATGCAGAAATAAGTTTGTGGAATTTTTGACAGAAGAGGGTTCAACATCTGAAAGTCAATCATGTTTCGCCACATCAACAAAAAGAGAAAAACCAGATGATCACATGAATACTTATCTTGAAAAAATTTGGTAAGATCCAACATCCATTTATGAGGACCCTCAAAAAACTATAAAGAGAAATAGAACATAATAAAGCCCATGTATGGTAAACTCACAGCTAACACCATTTTCAATGGTAAAAACCATACCAGACAGAAATCTTAAACAAGACTACAAGGACATACACTAAAATTACTATCATAGGATAGTGAGATTTAAATGATTTTCCATTTTTTTACTTGGTGCTTTTTGTATTTCCAAATTTACACTAAAACCAAGTTTACCTTAAAGAAAACAAGATATAAAATCAGTTGATCATTTTCTAAAATTTATCATATTTGAAATATATACTTATAACGTACCCTCTGTTGTAATGTGTTAAGACTGAAGACTAGATACTACAATATACTCAGTGCTTTCACTTACTATGAGGCAGTCATAGGCCATATTTTATGACAGTAAATGCAATGCCATTTTACTTCAGAAAGCAAAGAGAAATTTAAGTTTCTTAATTTTCAGTATTTTAACACATTTCAATAAAATTATATGTTGTCATTGACCAGTGAAAACTAAACCATTTTCAGCTAAAAATGGAGAAAATTCCAACCGGTGACTACCAAACCATTTTATTTTTCTCTCTAGTGGAATTAGTAATGAATTCTTCTGTATATTAAGAATGGATTATAGAACAAGTGACTTAATTATTTGCAGAAAATGTACTTATTCAAGAGACAAGAATGGAAAGTAAAACTGGAAAGATGATTATAATGAAGAACAAACCATGGGCTGGGAATAGATGGGTTTAAGTAAAGTTAGGATAGGATGTCTAGGTAACAGTCTCAAAATCTGGGTGAGCTTCAGAAAACTCAAGAGTGTAAAATAGAAATTTGTGTGCCTCCCTTCCAGCTATTGTGATACAGCAGAACAGAGTAAAGTTGAAAATAACAGCAAATTAACAAAATTTAAACCAAAACCGATTTGGACCATAGAAACCCAAAAAACTGCCTGAGACTGCTCCAGCTCTGCACTCTGGCCATGACCACAGCCCACAGCCAGGAGGGCAGGCCCAGGTGTCTGCAGGCCTGCCCTCCAGACCATCCCAAGATTCCAGCACTGAGTAGCTCTAGGAAGTGCTCAACAGTCATTTTCAGGATTCTAGAACCTCAAGTACGTTCCCTTTCGCCTACGCATAAGACAACCATTCTCATCACTGGCTCTTGGCATTCTCAGTACCAAGATGAGGGGAAACAGGCAGTGGCCAGCTCAGCTTTAAGAAAGAGAAAATAAATCTGCCAACTTCTTCTGACTTTGAGATGTTTGGGCCTATCTGTAGGATATGATAAACTAGATGGTAAAATAGACATAGAAATAGCAGTATGGCATACACTTATTTTATCCAGGAAATTCTGCTCCAGTATTGTTCATTGATATATAACCACCTTTTTATGCAATCAGACCAACATCAAGGGCATGTGAACCTCTCATTTATGTCATATTCAAATCCAAATATTTCATAGCAACTGACTATGGAGAGGAGGCAGTAACCTAAATATTTCATGTAACAGCCTTGTTTTCCAACATTTTTTATAGGACCTTTAAAATAAGCTTTAAGTGCTAAAATGTGCCAAACTTACTTTAAAAATGTGATTTGTAAAAACCGCCTAGTTCATAGATCCATAAAGGCTGTCTCTTAATTTGAGACTGTGGGCATAGCTGG